CGTCCTCGTCCTCTGGCTCCCCGCACCTTTACCGCAGCAGCAGCGAGCGGCGGCCCGCCACGCCGGCTGAGGTGCGCTACATCTCCCCCAAGCACCGCCTGATTAAGGTGGAGAGCGCTGCGGGCGGTGCAGGAGATCCCCCGGGGGGCGCCTGCTCAGGGGGCCGCACCTGGAGCCCGACGGCCTGCGGAGGCAAGAAACTGCTCAACAAGTGTGGCGCCTCGGCTGCGGAGGAGAGCAGTGCCGGCAAGAAGGACAAGGTAAGGCGCCCCTCCGCCTCACCCGAGTTTCCAGAGCCATTGTGCTCACGGGGAAACTGAGGCACCGCTCTGGTTCCGAGTCCCTACAACCACTTCGGGCTAGCACACTGGAGTCAGGGCTCCCACACTACTTCCCAATTCTGCCTCCATGCACACGCTCCCCCCCGACACTCCCCCCCCCCCCCGCCGCCGTCCCCGATCGTCGGCCTCCTGACACAGTCTCTTTCGCTGCTGCTCCTAAGACGTCCTCTCTCTGAGCCCACAGCCAGGTGTCCGCTTCGGAAGTAGCCTGACGGGAGCGACCCTCCCAGCCTTTCCCCTCAAAGAGGCAGCTAGTCCTTCAGCCCCCGAGGAGGAAAATCAGAGTCAGAGCTGTCACGGACTTAAAAGAGTGTTTACTCTTGTCCACCCCGTCTCCCCCCATCCCCGATTCTATAGATGGGAAACTGAGAGGTCCAGTGCTGGGAATGGACTCGCCGGATATTACACACTCTTGGTGGCAGATCTGGACTGGCTGTCTCTGAACGGCTGTATGTAAATTCCTCTAAACGCCCTGCTCCACCCCCTGCGCCAGGTTTCCAGATGGGGCGGCCTTTTGTACTGGAGCTTCACCGGGAACCACACGCGTGCTTTTCCGGTTGAAATGTGCTGGTCTCCAAGACGCTCCACTTCGACCTGTTAGTTCCTCTAGCGGCGCAGGAGAGGGGTCCCCCTACCTGGGCCAGCTGGAAGGAGAACCACCCCTCCAATCTTCACCTTACTTCTTGACCTTACCCGACCCCATACTGTCCCAGGGATGAGGGGGACTATTTTGTGCAACCCCCCTCCCTGACGAATCAGACCATCTTGATATCCCACCTTTGAAGCAGGATAATTACAGCCAGACTGGGCCCTCTCCTTCCCTTTCACACTCCTGTGACACCCTCCCTTCTCCCATAAAATAATACTTGTTCTGTCTACTTCTGGTGGAAGGCAGTATTTTGATTACATCTGAGGCCTGGTGCCCTGTGATGGCTACCAGGCTACTGTCCCTCTTGTTCTCCCTCAAACCCCACCTTCTCCCAAAGGTAAACTTTTGTCCAGGTGTGGACTAGGGGAGGCTGATAAGGAATCTGAGTTTCTTTTAGGACTGGATGTCCAGATAGGAGTGAAACAGGCTGTTACCTGCCAGCTGGTGCTTGGAAAGGGATTTTTTTTGTTTTCCAGATAGGAGGAGTAAGGGGACACCCCTCTTAATTTTTCTGCCTGACTTCCTCTCCTCAAGATCCCAGGTCTCCAGAGTATCCCCTCCCTGCTGGGTCTGCTGAATGCAGCATGGGCAGTCTGAGGATTCCACCTCCCCCCGGGGCCAGTTTGGGGATACATCTCAGAAGCATGGATTCTGGGCTTCCTAAGGACCCATGATGTCACCACCTAAATGATAGGGTGCTGGGAGCCTGGTGGCTATCCAGGTGCTGCCTTAAGGGCAGAGGAGATTTCTCTGGGAGCCCCCAGGATCACAGGGTTGTGGTCAATCTGTGAGGGAAAGAGCAGAGAGGCTGTATGGCCCAGGCTTGGCTAGGTGCTGGCCTGGGAAAACCTCAGGTCCCTGGAGACAGAATGTGTGAGGACGGCCCAGCCTAGCTCCCTGGAGAGATTCACTGGACTCCCTGCCTCCCCCCTGTTACTCCATGGCCACCTCCCAGGCATTCAAATCTTTCTCTCTCCCTGCTTGTGGTCTGCCTGCTCACTAAAGTCTTCCTTTATGGCTTTCAAACTTTAGTAAACATTTTCCCTAATTATAATTAATTCTATTTCAGATACTGAGGAATGATAATTTTTATAACTGTGATGTCCAGCGTGTTGAAGACTTGGCTCCGTTCTGCCAAGTATTTCTTACAGGTCTTCTCTGCTCTCCCCTGCTGGGTACTGGAGCAGGGTTCCTCAATGAATAGTGTGGCCCAAGCAGAAGTGTGCACCAGTGCTGTGATGGGATGGCTTACCGGGAGGTGGTCACGGAGGGCCACTATTGTGGTTGGCTGTGGAAGAGAGCCTGATGCTTTGGGGAACTGCAGGAAGGCCCTGTAGCCGGATTTAAGAGGTTAGAGTTGGGCAGGACCCCAGAGGAGCAGGAGGGCCTGGGTCAGGGGGCACCTTACCTTGTAAGCTAAGCACCGTAAGAGCATTTAGTTGCTAAATGATGTGAGCAGATTTGGTTTTTTAAAAAAAGATCTCTGGACTGCATTTCACCTACTAGGTTGTGACTTCGAGCCCTTTGATATTTCAAGAAGTTGTTGCAATACAGACTCGATACTCAGGTCCTTGGAGTCAATACCTCCAAGGCATTTCGGCTACCAGGCGTTTTTTTCTAACAAGCAGGAGGGAAAGCTGCCAGGGAGGGTCATACTATGCATTGCTTCTCAAACCAGCACCTGGAGGGCTGGTTAAACCACAGATTGCAGGACCCATCCCGCACAGAGCCTGAGTCACCACACGTGGTGTGGGGCCTGAGAATGTGCATTTCTAACAGATTTCCAGGTGATCTTTTGCCACTGATCCTGGGACCACACTTTGAGAACACTCATGTGACAGTGGCTTTTTAACCCTCTCTCTGAGTCTTCAGCCAGAGCTGATTTGGAATGCAGAGACTACGTCATTTCTGCCCTCCTTGTAGGGCTGCCTCCTAATCTGGGGCCAACACTCACCCCATACCCGCCCCATTCCTGTCCAGGCAGCCAAGAAACAGCCTGGTTTTCACATTATTTCCAGCCAGACAGCTTTCAGAAGGCCAGGCACATTGCAGATCCAGCCCTGAACACCCTAGAGCCCGCCTTCTGCCCCTCACCCATGGATCCAGGAAAACCCACTTCTAGCCCACTTAATCTCAGGTCCAGCTTCTCTTTATCAGTTGCTAGGGGATAGGACAAGAACCTGTAGGGCTGTTGAATGCCCCCTGTGTGTCGGGCTGTGTTTTTGACGTCGGTCTGTGTTGAGAGTTGCTGTGGCGTGGAGTAGGAGCTGTTGGTCCACCAATCCTCCTTTCAGGACCTCTGCTGCCAGCCCTATCCTCTCCTGCCTCCTTCAGTACCTGGGCTTCCCTCTGTCACACACTTAGGCAAACTCCTATTCTCCCAGGTGAGTCCCAGGGCATACACACTCCTGGTCACAATTCACTGCTTCTGGCCAGCCTCCGGTTTTTCCCTTTTAGAATCAGATGCTGGAGGGACTGTATTTTCAATTTAAGCAACTTTTACCCAGCACTTATTTTGTGCTCAGAGATCTCTCCGTACAAGGGCGACCTAGGAGGGGAGAGAATGAAGGCTGCAGAAGACTGGGCAATAATCTCTGGCCTGAGCCTCTGGAGGAGACCAACATACATTGTCTTTCCATCATTTGTCTCCCAGTGTTTTTGTCTTAGGAAATTTACTGAGGTCTTCACCTAGGAGGCAGCTTTGAGCTGGATTTAGAGACGGAAGTAGAATTTCAACTCAGGGGAAGGGCTGACTGCAGCCTGCAGGAGTACTGAGGTCCCAGTGTTGTGAGTGTACACGCGTATGTGAGTGTGTGTGTATATGTATGTGTGTGGGCACGTGTGTGTGTGTACATGTGTATACAAAACCTCAACCGGAGTGTGTTCTTGAAAATCAGAGCTTTCTTGCAGTGGGCCTCACTTGGGGAATGAGAGATGACAGTGTGAGATAGGTGGGGGCCTGAGTTTAGACCCCACAGGGGAGTCCTTGAAGACTGTTGAGCCAGGAAAGGGACAGACTCAGAACCATGGTTGAGGAGCATCCCAGGCTGTAAAGAGCTGCTGCAATCTGGGGGAGATGGGGCTGGAGTTAGGGGGCAATTGCAATATAATCCAGGTAAGAGACAGTGAGGGCCTGAGCTCCTGGGAAGAGACAACAAAACTTCAGTAGGTAGAAATATTATTCCTTCAGGTTGTCTTTATAAAAAAATAATGATGACAAAAGAGGACAGTAACTTGGTAGGTCTCCTTTTGTGCAGCCAAACAGGTCTCATCCCGTTATATTTTCTGCTGAAGTCTTGTTTCTTTTATCATAATTAAGTAAATGTTGTTTCCACTGCAACTGAGAAAGTCAAGATGCACCATGACATCAGTTTCCCAAGTTTTAAATACATGCTAATGTGTACTAACACTTTATATTTTGTCAGCATCCACAGTTGAGTTAAATAACATGTTTCCCAAGGAATAAATAATATCATGTCTAACCTTTTTTTTTTTTAAAAAAAAAAAAAACACTCAGCAGACAGTCTCTGAGCAGCCTGCTAGGCAGGGGGAATTTAGAGAGAATAAGTTGTGGCCAGCTTTCCAAGAGGGAAGCGTCTCAGATTTGCAGTTGAACACCAGCTTCTCAACATCTAGTCTGGGAGACTGAGACAGTTAATAAGACAGTGTCGCATCCTGAGGCATGCCAGGACAGAGGTGTGTGCAGAGGGCTGGGAGGGCCTCAGCTCTGTCTGCAAAGTCAAGGAGGGCTTTCAGGTTGAGGTGACATTTGAGCTTTTTACGTTTAGAAGCTTGTACCAAGAGAATGGTTGGAAGCCCTGAAGGATGGGAGCAGCAGGGATTGCAGAGGGAGGTTGGAGCCACAAAAGGAAAAGAGTGTCTCATGTTCCTTTTTGGGAAGTTGTGACTTGTCTTTTTGGTCTTTTTCACATCAGCTCATTGATGTGTGGCTTGACTGAAGCTAGGGCCAAGCATGAGCTGTCAGTCATTTCCATTTGGTTAACAACCATGGTCTCCATCCAGTTCTTAGAAAGTAATTGTCTGAAAAGGTAAGAGCCAAGCTTGGTAGCTGTGGTTTGGCTTGGGACACTTTCTCCTTTGAAGTCCTGTCCCATGAAAGTAGTGAGAGAAATGCTGCTTATCAAATCCAGTTTTTCCCATCGATTCCCCAGAAGAGGAATATATTCTTCAGGCTTCAGGCTAATCACTTCATTGGTCATTTAATCCTCACAGTCACCTTAGAAGAGGGTTACACACTGTATCAGTTAGC